ACGATGACTTAGTGAATCATGCGGGGCGGGAGTAAGGTCGTAGCAGAGGGTGGGGTAGTGGAACAAATTATAATGAAAGCATTTGATTCCAGTTTGAGGGCGGAAAATATGTAGAATCATTAATCACATGTTATTCAAAAACGCAGTGATAAAAGGGGAACTGGAACACGTGCAATGCTTTTGCTCAATGTTCATTTTTTTCATCTGTACATATCGCTCTTTAATATCTCACACCCACCCATCTCCATACAGGGACCTGTTTGTGATTATACATGTAACCTTGTGTTGTCTTTTCTCATTATTCCCAATTATTAAAAAGAAAGCGATGTGTAGATATACAAAGTTGGGCCTGACGTTAGGAACAAAGTAATTGTTACATATAGGACAAACATACACCAAATTAGTAAATCACTCATAATATGACATTGGGTGGCTTCATCGATTACGTTGAATCTGGTTTTTCATTTGCTACTTGATACTGGTAACTTCTGAACCGACTCAATGCATGTAGGTGCATGACACTATTCAACAAAAGATAAAAATAACGCTGTGTGGCCCTGAGTATCTTCTAAACGACTACTGTATACGTCGTATATCAGTGCTACTCCCTGAACGGACATTTTGTTTTTTGGTCTATTGGGTTTTCTTATGTACAGTGAAATCAGTGAATCGTGTAAGGGGTCAAGCAAAGGACAGATGGGTTATGTGGGTTGGGGGGCGAATAACTCCAATAAAAGAAACTTCCCAGTGAAGTCGCACTTTCTTTGTGCAACGTATTGTACTCAGGCTTACTTGTAATTGGTATATACCGGTCGATTAGACCTACGGGAAAAGATATATGACCTACTTTCAAGAGGGTGGGGGAGAGATGCTAAGAGGATGACTATTTTCTTACAAGAGTTCACAAAATCTGGTTCTTCAAAAGGCATCTCAAAACCGGCACCAAATCGTGTCGGTATTACAAATGACCAAGGAAAATAGTCTTAGATTTTGATGAAACTGATTTTGAGAAAAATCGATAGGAAATAGTTCTTTTTTAAGATCTGATGAATAAAAATAGGCTTCAGTGTGGCAAGATTATGTATGTTCCGGCACATTGTGAATATCAGCAAATCAGTCTTATTATCCAATCCTGGAAAACTGGGGCTACCAAGGGAAATACAGAACTCCCTACCGTGCCTCTTGAATAAATGGTGTCATTTTCAAAGTAAGAATGATTAAGCTACCTATACTCTTACGGTATGCTGTAAATATGATAGGGTTCTTCTAATCACGGTCTGCACAAAATTACAGGTCGGACGCTGATGTTTGAGAGAGTTACATGTTTGAAGTCTATCCCCCAAAATACTAATACTGATAATAAAGATGGTAGACTTTGCCTGAAACGGTTCAAAAAGTGCACAGTTCTCGCATTGTCTCAAATTTATACTTCAGTCCCTCACCCAGTACCTTCAAAGTCTGAACTGTATACACATTGATAGATATAAATTAACATCCCACACAACACCGTATATGTTGATTCTGCACTGCTAAGCGATTACACTACATTTCTGAAACCCGTCTCCGAGTTACCCAAATTGGTCACTGAATATACAGTGTGTGTGTGTGTGTGTGTGTGTGTGTGTGTGTGTGTGTACATACATACATACATACATACATACATACATACATACATACATACATATATATATATATATATATATATATATATATATATATATATATATATATATATATATATATATATATATATATAATCAATGAAGCAAATTTCATTTAATGTCTATGCAAAAATGATGGAAACAGTTGAAATTTTGAACTTTTTCGTGCGTTTTCAAGTAAACACAAGACTTTACTTCACTTTAAACAAGATTAAACAAACTGTTTACAGTCTAATGGTTTTCTTTCCACAGCTTTCTCTCATCAGTACCATAATTTATCTAGGAAAATGAGAAGTTTGGAAACATAAGTAATTTTCTCAAATCGGTGGGAGGAGATACCTTTTTCTTTCGTATTTCTTCAATCATGTTTAAGTCTGTTTTAAATGATCATCTAAATTATAAACTAGCGGGTTTATTTATTTACTTTTTTTGTTAATAATATTTTCTTACGTTTTACTTTTATTCCGTCAGAAAAAAAAATGTTCTGGGTCATTTTGTAAATCAAGCTCAAATTGCATATCCAAAGAAGAACATATTGGAAATATTTACTTAGTAACGTCTTTAAAGCATATCACAACATATTTCACGGAGTATGTATGTATGTATGTATGTATGTATGTATGTATGTATGTATGTATGTATGTATGTATGTATGTATGTATGTATGTATGTATGTATGTGTGGTCGTATGTATGTATGTATGTATATATGTATATATATATATATATATATATATATATATATATATATATATATATATATATATATATATATACTTCGTCTGAACAATTAGGTGAAAGTAACATGAATAATTAACGTTGAAAACTACATCTTAAGAATAACATATTTGTAATTTTTGTTGTTGTTGTTGTTATTATTTAAGTCCCGGTTTACAATGGGTACATCCAAGAGTAAGACATGTTTAAAATAATACATTAAAAAAACAAGAAAAATGAAAGAATTTTACCGTGATGTGCCTTGATCTTTCCAAAAAAAATTTAAGAAGATAACGGAGAATTCACCCTTTTATTACTTTTAAAACAGATTTTGTACAGGAACTTTTAGTGTTAATTGAAACAGCAAAAGAAAAGTAATGCAAGCTAGGTAGTATTTAAACATCTTAAAAGTTAAAAATCGTGTTCAAATACGCGATCTAAGGTAGTATTAGTCTGCCGTCGTCATGTAATTTTATAATATACGTGATGAAGACGATGTCTTTTACGTCAACAAAACTGGTTGCCGTTTCTAATGCGACGACGTGCTTATACAGACGTAATAACAAATTTATATTTATGTTGTGTTAAAGACATATATAACAACCTAAATCTGCAAATTTTGTGACTTTTATGCAGGTATGGCAATTTGCCTATATGCAAGTATTTTCGTTGACGTAAAACACGTCGTCTTTATCACGTATGCTATTTAAATATTTAGTGATGACGGCGGTGTTTTAATGCTTTCATATGAACCATTTCACACATACAACCGCTACGGTGGCCTAATGGCTAGAGCGTCCTCCTCAGATGCGGGAGGTCGTGGGTTCGATCATCGGTCGAGTCCTACCAAAGAATTACAAAAATGGTACTAAAAGCTGCCTCGCTTGACGCTCAGCATTAGGAGGTTAGTGTTAGGACTGGACGGCCTGGTGTAAGGATAACGTGACTGGGTGGGACATGATGCTACATGTGTGCGGTATGATGTTCCAGTGCTAGACATCACTATAAACTGCCACACTGCAGACATCGTAGCGATATGACTGAAATTTTGTTAAAACTACGTTAAAAATCATACAAGAAAACAATCGCATGCCATACTCTTCTTTTCAATCTAACCTACATATGTAACAGTCTTACCTGTAATAAAGCAAAATACATCTGTAAAGACCTTGTGGTAGAGCGTTCCTTTTATCATCTTTGACGTCTGGCTTCTTTTTAAGACTCTATCCTAGCACCTTTTGCATCAAATGTTTCCTAAATATTTCCTTAGTGTATATTAAATCAAAGACATAAAATCTTGTCCAAATTTTCGTAAAATACCAAATATTTACTCGCAGTCTTTGTTGTACATATACTCATTTCTAGTTATTTCCTAAATAAAAATGGCAATAGTATAAAAAAGCAGACGACAAGCAACTATCTTTTGAGTGACAAATAAAACTTATTTATTCATACCCATCCTATAGTGTACATATAATGGTAGAGCGACTCTAAACGATATCTTACGCAAAATACATATATATGATTTTCAAATAGGTTCTTAATAACTTTGTCTTTAATTCATATGCATGAATTTGAAAATGGCAAATTGAAGTTTTTCAAAAAAAAAAAAAAAAAAGAAAAACATAGGTAGATGGCTACACTTTGTATTTAAGAATGGAATAAGGGTTTCACAGTGCCGTTTTAAGGCATAGACACGCGAGGCACGGGCCTAGGGTCCCGCGCAGCAGGGGGTCTTGCGGCGGCCCAAAAACAAAATTTCGGTGTCTGTTGTATAAGCAGTTTAGTACTAAATTAATAAATTTATATGGAAATGCAACGCAATACTCTATGTCTGAGACTGCGAGATCAAGGAGCAATTTTACTTTTAAGGTTAGTGTTTTTGCCTAGGGCCCCCAAACTTTTTAAAACGGCTATGAGGCTTCTTCTTCTATATATATATATATATATATATATATATATATATATATATATATATATATATATATATATATATATATATATATATATATATAGAGAGAGAGAGAGAGAGAGAGAGAGAGAGAGAGAGAGAGAGAGAGAGGTTAGTTTTTTTTGTAACTCCTGTTATTCACTTTTCACATGGATCGAAAATCGGTCCTTGACGTATGTTATATTACGATGAACAATAACTATAATTTAGGCAAATATACATTTGGCAATAAACGTAATTGAATTAATAAGAATCACACTCATGAAGAGGATATATGTTTTTGTATGAATGAAAAATGCCTAAAATTAAAAATGGCAACACAGAACACAAAGCATTCAAAACACGTTACTGAACATTGCCAGCCTCTAATAATTAACGGGAGATAACTCCAAGTTTCAGCGCTCACACACGATAACTGCATAGTGAACACTCGCGCTCTCTTAGTCCTACTGTATTCATTTTCTTTATTTCTATCGACTACGACTCGAGTCATTAAAAAAAAATATCTTCTTATGAACTATAGGAAAACTAGAAAAAGACAAATTAGTCAATTAATGATACAAAATCACAAAATGAGGTATATATTGTATAAGTTAAGTGCCCTTTTCCAAAAGTGTTGTATAGGGTGCAGAAACGGGCTTAAGTTTGAATCAATCCTGCCGGATCGTTACAGTGGCGTAGTGGTTAGAGTGTCTGCCTCAGATGCGGGAGGTCGCAGGTTCGAATTCCGGTCGAGTCATACCAAAGACTTGTAAATATGTTACTAGCAGCTGCTTCGCCAGGCACTCGGCATTAAGATCTTAGTGTTTAGGACTGGCAAACCTGATGTCAGGATAATGTGACTAGGTGGGACATCGTGCTACATGTTTGCGGAATGATTACATCAGTAATATACATCGTAGCGATATGCCTGAAAAATTGTTAGTTAAAGCTAAATTAAAAATCCAAATCACGCACAGACACGCACACGAATCGATCCTATTGTATTCACACACCATCCGGTTTGTTTGGACCTAGTCTCCACCGGCTTCATATACAGAAGGTTTCAAGGACATATATGAAACAAAACATTTAGTCATCTCATTTACTGATTTAAAATTCTAATTCACGCCAGAGGGTTGAAATATTGTCAACCTGATGGCGTTTCAAATCAAACGGGAGTTTCTTTAGCAACACAATCGACATATCTTATAATGTAATTCACTGTTTTCAAGTAACGATGTTTTCAAGTAATAATGTGATGTATGTCAACGTCTTTGGTAATATCAATAATTTTGAATTTACATATCTTTGAACAACTATATAAAAGAGTTCCTCATATTTATTTGTTCAATTTAATTTAGAAATATTAAAACTAAACATTTCAAGTACTGGACTTAAACGACAGTTTTTGCTCAAATAGACTATTCTAGAAACTAGATATGGCGGCGAGCAGTCTGTTTGCTTGTATACCTTGGTAGCTTCCGTCTGCCTTGAAACGCCAATATTTCGACGGTGTTTGGAACCCCTTACCAAGAGTTAGGTTAGAAATTATTAATCAATAAACGAAGCGACTAATTGTTTTTGCATTTTTTAATATCCTTGATGCTTTTTTCGCTATTAAAATTGGTGGGTGATTGGTGGGTTACAATAAATGTGTGTGTGTGTGTGTGTGTGTGTGTGTGTGTGTGTGTGTGTGTGTGTGTACGAACACTAGAGATAGAGAGAAATGGCCACCTTTGAATTGGAAATTGTGAACCCCTAACATCTTGCTAACATCGTTGAGATAAAGTTTTTAATATTTTTCTGTAGAAATATATGAGCAACACGTACCGAAAAATAATCATTGTTTTCAATATAGCAATTTAAAAAACTTCCTAGCATGCCAGTGACGACGTTGCAATGTTACGCAATAATGAGCGTTACTGTAGGTGACACGTGCCTCAAAAATAGGTATCAGTAATGATAATTACTCTCGTTTTTGAATCACCTATATATATATATATATATATATATATATATATATATATATATATATATATATATATATATATATATATACTGTGCGAGGGACGGATTTATGAACAAAAATCTATTATACCATACATGATTTGTAAAAATTCGGAAGAGAAATTAAGACTTGTAGAATAGTGACAAGCTCAGCAAATCCGCCACGACATCATGTCATTAATATGCATGAAAGATGATCACATTGGGACCCATTTTAGATCTTGGTGATATAAGTTTATACAGGAACAACGATCAGAATTTGCTGAGAAATATGGCTTATAGATTGTTCACAAATTCAGCCAGTCAGATGCAAAGTTGACCTTATTATGCATGGATGTCGCTCATACACGAACTCAAGTGACATTTTAATGATAAAAGCTTAAATAGAAAGAATGACCCATATTAAGAAATATGGTTTCACTATTTTATGTTCACTTAAATCAGCCAATCAGATGTAAGACTACCTCATTAATATGCGTGGATGTCACTTACAATCAAACTCTTTAGAGAACTTGAAGATACAAGATTATAAGGCAGGTTTTATCTAAAAATAGCTATAAATACAGTATTTGCAAGTTCAACCAATAGGATGCATTGTAAAGAAACCCAATAACTAAAATTTGTACAGCAGGGCATCAAAGAGAATAGGGTAATCAAGTGCCATCTAAATGATAATGCGATGTCACGATTCTATGGTCTCGATTGTGGAATACTTCTCTTGAGATTGCTTTTTTAAAAAAAAAAAAACAGCATACTCTATAATCCATATTTTTTTCTTCTTGAATCAGGACTCTACCAACCTCTGCATCACTTGCATCAACAAACATTTTAAATATGGTACTGAAATTTGGAGCTGAAAGAATTGTTGCACTCTCGAGTACGTTATTTATCAAAAGTCTCCCTGTCATTTGTCTGAGCGGTGCAATTTGCATTTCTTATTCAACAAATTGGTCACAATTCAGCAATTATGGACCAATATGAGCAAAATTTCCGATAATATTTAGCCATACCGAAAATTGCTTCTGTTGCTTTTTACTATCAGGCAAAGGAATTCAGAGATGGAAAAACTGTTTCTGTCACATCTCTTTGAACAATTATATACAAGAGTTCCTCATATTTTTCTGTTTAATTTGATTTAGAAATATTAAAACTAAACATTTCAAATAATGGACAGAAACGATAGTTTTTGCTCAAATAGACTATTCTGCTTAATGGTTCGTCCAATACAGGAAATGGCTATAGATGAGCATGACGCATCTTCTCATTGGGTTTTCCGATCATTTCACAGGTGTGACAAAATGCACGGTACTTAGAAACAATATTTTTAAGTTCGGCCAATAAAAATTTATTGTAACAGCTCTTCCTGACCCCTAAATGACCAGCCAAGGGCGTTTCATGCGCTAGACTGCGAATTTTTAGTCGATATGATTTATAAAGAAAAACCCACTTTAATACCTCACCGACTGCTCTTCACTAGCAAGTACCTTAGGTGGTCTCCATTTTTTTTTCATAAGGATTCCCTTTGTCAGAAAAAAAACAGGTACTCATGTTACATCAATTTCACCAAAAGCACTCTGAAACAAACGAGAAATCTCAGGATCTTGTTCCTGTTCAACAATAGCAATTGTCTTTTATCACCTTGATTGAATGAATGACTAGCAAAATGAAGTTCATTGTGATCAATACCTTGTGATTTATCCATACTGGAGCAAACGTGGCATCATCCAAAGACTGACCAATAAATGCATGAGCTAAAGTAATACTTTCCGGATGAACGTCATTTTCAAGAGCTCTTTTTGTCTTACCTCTACTGGCCGCACAAGCAAGATATAAATCAGGGACTACAGTCACAACAGGATCAACTTTCTGACCCAAATAAGTCTTGCCAGTCACAAGTGGATTAACTATAACTTTATCTCTAGCTAGGTCGTTGCCCATCAATAAAAGAATACTCTCGTCGAGTAAAGCAATAATTGTATCGACAGTCAAGGGACCTGAAACTAAGTCTAATGACAAATTTATATGATGGAGTGAAACATTAATGAAGCCACACTCTAATCTCTGAATAAGAATACTTTCATGAGAAGAATGCCTCTCTGAAAAAGTCAAAGTACTTGATAATAACAGACTGAGAAACTCATGTGTCCATTATTATTTGAATAGGGATAGACTTGGCAGAATTACCAATAGGTGATAAGTGATATAGAACCCTCCAAATTGAATGTTTATAATTCTTTATAATAAAATCAGACTGAGTTTGTTGGACCTGATCAATGTATTGCTTTCAATACCAAACTCTGACCATGACCTCTTTGAAAGAAGAGCATCTGGAATATCTTTCTGGTATATCTCTATATACTATTGCTTATTTTTCAATGTGTAACAATTATAAATAGCGTGCCATTTCTTCTTACAATAAGTGCACATTACAAGATATAAGGATTTCTGATCAGTTTTAACAGAAGTTTGATTTTTAAAAGTTGAACCATATTAAGATTTGAGATAAACTCGTATAAGACCTATATTTTTATGTCAATAAAACTACTGAGAGGACGGCTTAACGACGAATGAAACTTTGCATTTTCGAAAGTTTCCACGATTTTCTCATCAAAGAAGGCCTTTACATCACTATGAAGGAATTTCTGGACCTTTTTAATAATATGAATTGTCTGATGTTATCTTAATCTTTATCAACCTTCTTAGATGAGCACCAACTATCAAATAATTATTCGATTTCCCTGCAAATATGACATGGTTATGTCCAATTTATTTTTCTACAATTCCTAAACCTTTATCAATATGCCTCGGATACCAATTCAAAATCCTTCAAGCTACTTTCCCTAACCATCACAGTTAGACATTTGTTGTACCGACAGGAAAGTGTAGGCTTCACGAGATTTGCCAAGACGTACGTTGTGTATTAATAAAATCCAATGCTTTGTTGGTGAAAAAAGTATTAATTTCGTTCTCTTTAAAAGGGGTAAGAACTTAATGTGTTCTTGGTAACATCGAAGCCTGAAAATGTATTTTAATGGTGTGTGTGTGTGTGCTCAACCTGCCAGTTCTAATTCTGTAGGTCTCTCTCTCTCTCTCTCTCTCTCTCTCTCTCTCTCTCTCTCTCTCTCTCTCTCTCTCTCTCTCTCTCTCTCTCTCTCTCTCTCTCTCTCTCTCTGCATTTGGTTACCCTTTTTCTCCATGCATCTGTTTTCCACATCTCTTTTTCTGTGCTTCAGTCTTTCCTCTCTGTGCATTTGCATTTTCTTCTATTCTCTCATTTGTATTTCGCTATTTCATTATGTCTTAATGATGCTGAAGATTTCTTAACTCGATTTCCTTTTCTTAAAATCCAATTCATTTAATTTTATATCAAAACTAGATTCATACTTACTAATCAAACGTATTGAACTTTTATCTAAGAAATATTTTCTCCTAAATACTTAACGAAAACATTCTTTATTTCTTGCTCTTGTTAAAGAAGTCTTTGATTTTGAAAGATCATACTATTTGGTAAACTAAAACAAATCGTTCCTTTTCAAAAACTGTATCCCTTCCAAATTAGGATTTGAAGGAAAGTTTGATATATTAGATAATATTGTGAGAGCTTATTGGTTTCATGAAAGAGTTTGTAAATATGTGTAAATAAAATCTTTACCTGGGGCAACGAAAATTCTGAAACAATGTCAATTTAAATATAAAAGCTATTGTTTAATATATCTGATATTTATATCTCTCACAATATTAATTTCTGTT